AGGAGCCTGGGTGAGAGGCTTCCGGGGAAGCTGGCTGTCCCCATCCCCATCCCCATCCCCATCCCCATCCCCATCCCCATCCCCATCCCCATCCCCATTCCAGGGAGTCTCAGTTACCTGGTTGAGGAGGTGTGGCAGGCGGTTTGCAGTTCGTTTGGAAATGTGTTGTCCTCACTGGTCTCTGAGAGACTCCCCCGGGAGTGAGGTCACCCTGGTCTCTAACTGCTTTTGAAGTCATGGCCCTCAGAGACCATCACTTCTTTATTGCTCCTAGTGATGTTATTGCACCCGGATTGCGACTGTATTTAACAGGGTTTTGAAGTGTAATATTCATCAGGCAGCCTGTACAGACGACTGATGTCCGAACACGCAGCAGCGTTGTCTGACGCTTGGTGCCGAGTGCACATTGTAAGAGCCACCTTGTGTCTTTTTTGGTCCTTGGGGAAAATTGCAGCATAAAAGGGAGCAGTCCCTTCCCTAATCGCCACAAAGCAGCCCTGGATGGACGGCAAGCTGGGCCTGGCCTTCAGGGTGCGGCTGGGGGCACGCGGCCTCGTAAAGAAGCTGCTGTCTGATCTCTTTGGACTTTATTGGACTTTCTTTCTTAGAACAGCTTTCGACGTACTGAGCGCCCGGTCCCTTTCACAGGCAGTTTTAACGCCCAGGCTTCTCCCTTCTCTCCACAGACGCCGGCTCCTCTCCCAGAGGGCCTCGCTGGAGACGCTGGAAGACATTGAGGAGAACGCCCCCCTGCGGAGGTGAGTGTCCGGCGGGCGTTTCCGTGTGTAAATGGCTCACTGGACAAGGTCACAGCCACAGTTAACACTCCTGATCTGCAGAATTAAGTGTTTAAAATGACATCTGAGCGCCAGGGTCGTAGTTTGGACACCCCTGCCCTGAGGACCAGGAGAACAGTGTGGGGTCCTCCTCCCTTCCCTGTGAAAGCTGCTGGCGATGAAGACAGCCCAGCCTGGCCCCCGTCAGGTGCCATGTGACGCAGCAGACACGACCCTGGGCTCGCGTGGCAGTGCCCTGTGCGGCCAGGTGCTGGGCAACGCGTGAGGGGAGCTGTGCCTGCTCCGTGGGGCTGGTCCCTCCCTCCCTGGAGATGACAGAAGTGCGTGCGGCACCTTTTTGGGTGACTGCAGTGCCGCCCCGTCTGCACTGTGGGCCAGCCAGGCCTCCTGGAGGAGGCAGCACTCGCTGCCGCCCAGCCGGTGGCCCGTGGGGGCTGCTCCTGCAGAAGGAGCTGAGCGAGCTGGGCGCTGGCCGACAGGGCACACGTGGCAGCAGCAGGGGAGCCGGCGTAGGATGTTCCCTCAGCTCGCACAGCTCCTCCGGGAACCCACACCTGCACCCGTGGGTCGGGCCATGGGTCAGGATTGGGGCGTCCTGGGCCCTTCCCTTTGGGCCTGGGAGATGCTCATGTGGAGGGAGGCAGCTCACCCTGGAGCCGGCTCCTTCTGGGCCCAGAGCCTCCCCCCAGGTCCTGGGTTTTGTGCACAGACCACTGGGTGGAGGGTGGAGCATGGACAGGCCTGCGTCAGGTCGAACGTGTCAGATGCCCTGAGTCTCATCATTGACTTTATTCCAAAGAGACAGCGGGGCTGATGGTTCAGTTTCCGCTTTTGAAAACGGTTGTGACTCGGGGCCCGTCCCAGGTGAGTGCGTGTCACTGCGGGACGACGAGGCGTGGTGCGTGTGTCCTTCCGTCGTGGCTGCTGTCAGTATTGGGAGAAGGGCCACTTCCTGGAGGGAGGGCTGCAGAAGCGGCACTAAAGTCCGTGGGGGCTGGCGCTGGCCCACGTGATCAGCGATGGGGGACGGTGCTGCGAGCAGCTGCCACACACGGGAAACCAGTGTGCGGAGCTGGCAGCCTGGTGTCCCCAGGGCCTGAGCAGCTCGTGGTCAGGGCGCCTGTGGCCGTGCGCCAAGGGGGCCCGGTGGGAAGACATGGCTCCCCTTTAGGGGCCCAGGTGGTTAAGGGGCCGAGGAGGCGCTGGGCATGTGCTCCTGGCCACACGCCCGTCACCCTGCCCCTCTCAGAATTGGCCCAGGCTGAGCCTGCTCTGCCCTTGTGCCCTGGTGGCAACACAGGCCGAGTGAGACCGGGTATCTCCCTCAGCTCTTCCAGAAACTGCTGAATTCCCAGCAAATCTTGTTCAAATCCAACATCTAACCATCAGTCAGAAATAAGGGAATCAAGGCAGTTTAAGAAGTCTTCATTTTCCCCTGGACTTCTTTCTTACTTAAAAATTTTTTTGCCCTGACCAGTTTGGCTCAGTGGATAGAGCGTCGGCCTGCGGACTGAAGGATCCCAGGTTCGATTCCAGTCAGGGCATGTACCTTGGTTGCGGGCACATCCCCACTGGAGGGTGTGCAGGAGGCAGCTGATCGATGTTTCTCTCTCATCGATGTTTTTAACTCTCTATCCCTCTCCCTTCCTCTCTGAAAAAAAATCAATAAAATATATTTAAAAAAAAATTTTTTCTTGGAAATATACTTGTTCCTAGGAAATAACATCAGCATGGCATAGCAGGAGGGACCTTAGGTTAGGAGTCAGGGGATTTGAGGGCTTGACCGGATTCTTCTACACACTGGTCACATGGCCTTGGAAGTTCACTTAGCTTCGCTGGTGCCTCAGTCTTCCCATCTGTAATGCGGGAGGGACAAGGGGCTGATCGCTGAGGTCCTTCCCAGCTCCCAGGTTCTGTGAAATGAATGTATCATTAACAGTACTGAAGTTTTGGGGAAACTGGGGGTGGAATGCTAATGCCCAACTTGCCTTTAAACTCAGCACATTGAACAAGTGGCTCCAAGGCATCTATTAAAAACCTTTTGCATAATTACGTGTGTCCTATAATCAGTGCTAACAAGAAAGAGCTAATCTTTCATTAAATTAGTTTTTAATTTAATCCTACCCTAATTTAATTTTGCGTCACTTAAAGTGTATGTTTTAAAATGGATGTTTACATGTTAATTCAGGCGGTTTCAAAATTAATTCATTCTTTGCTCACCCTGCCACAACACGTGCTCAGTCTTCCGGTTTCCTTGGCAATGGTTGCTAACGCCACGATTCCCTAGGGTGTCCTCAGGCTCCCTGGGGATGGAGTTGAATGCTTAAAAGATGCAGGACAACACACTGCTCCTTGAAAGGGAGCCCAGGCAGCTAGGATCGGGCGCTGAGAGCCACATAAAGCACCTTTGTTAAGTTCTCCTTTTGAAAGTCTTGCTTTTCTCTTGTGCATCCCAGTGTGTTAGTAAGTTTCCAAGAATTGAGCATTTACAAGGAGGGGGTTTCCTCTGGCCTGGTGGTTACCGAGTGTCCTAGAAATAAGATCCCAGGACTCCCTAGGTGTCCAGAAAAACCTCGTTTACCTGCGCACACGTGGCAGCCGCTGCCGCCCCAGTTTCCAGCCTGTCTGGGTCGGTGGGGGCTGGCTGGTGCCCTGTTCAGCGATTGCTGCACCTCCTCCTTCCCCTGCTGGTGCTGACAGCCACCGATGACTCCCAGTTCCTGCAGAGGCCTGTGGGGCTGTGTCCCCCGACCTACAGCCCTCTCTGCGGGCCCAGAGGCAGGGAGCAGCCGGTGTTCCTCCTTGGGCCTGGGATTGAGTCGGGCTTCCGGCCCCTGGGGCAGGTGGGAAGGTGCTCACAGTCCTGCTCACTTTGCTGTGGCCACTGGCCTGGACGGGCCGGCCGAGGAAGCTCTCCAGTGGGGAAGGCGGGGAAGGGTGTGAGGCACAACTGACCCCTCGGCCTGTGCAGGATCCCCTGGGGGCGTCCTTGCACTCTCAGAGCCCCCTCGCCAGGGACTGAGCTTCTAGAATCCTCTGCTGTGTGTGAGAGCGACAGTGGGGACCTTGAGTGACTTGCAGACTCCAGCATTGGTTTCTGGGGGTAGAAGTGAGGCCATGGGGTCCTGGGCCTGCCCCACAGAGCTGCCCGAGAAGGCAGGAGGAGCCCCCAGGAGACTGAACCTGGGCTAGAGCCTGAGGGGGAGTGGGGTTTGGGGTGCTTCCCCCCGAAGTCCCCAGGGAGCTCTGCTAAAGGCCCTCCGGCAGGCAGTGCAGGTCTTTGAAAGAATCTATTTAAAGCCAAGAACTCAGGACCCTAACAAGGACGCACTTTCAGCAACATAGGGGGCAGGTGGTCCCCGAGTGTGCACCCTTTGAGGCCACTGGTCTTAAGAACCAGGGCACCTGAGACGTGTGTGCATGTTTGCATCCACGTGCAAATGCACGGCTGTGCATGTTTCCATGTGACTGCATCCTGCGCCACCTACAGATGGCGGAGCTCTGTACAGGCCGTCGCGGGAGTCCTCACAGCAGCACCAGGGAAGGGACGACTGTGGGGGTCGGGGCTGCGGACCCTGCTCGGATGCAGTGACCTGACTAGACCCCAGGGAACCCCCTTTTCCTCGAGAGTCACCACATACCTGGTGTCACGCCTTTGCTTCGTCGCACTCACGGCTTCGCTGTGATTGTTTGCAAGCGAAGTCACATTTTAAGGGGCTGTTTCTTAGAAAATAAATAAATGTCAGTGCCCTTTGGTGAAAAGCTTCTAGAAAGACTGGCCCTTCCTAGAGGTGGGGAAGGGGCTGAGGGGATGGACGCCCTGAGGTCTGGACCTAATTTCCCCTGAGCTTGGCCCTTGGGGGATTTTAGAGGTTCGGTTGCTCTGTGGGTCTGTGACCCGGCCCCCACCCCATCACCCCCGGGTCCTGAGCCCACCTGCCCACACCCACCTGCTTGTTAGTTACCTTGTTACTCTTGCCCCTGAAGCCTCAAAGTTCAGACCTGACTGAAGTTGGGGACCCAGCCCGACCTCGCTATGGCTTCGGCAGTGGGCACAGCTCCTGGAACTTCCTCTCGGAGGCTACGTTCTGGGGTCCCCACTCCCAATGGCAGAATCAGCCCTGGGGTCAGAAAGGTCTAAGTGAACAACAATATTTGGCAGCAAAAACCAAAACAGACCAGTCAGTTCCCTTTTCCAAGAAAAGCCTTGTGTGTGGGGTGTTTTGCTTTCCTTGGTGTTGTTGCAGCTGTGGAGCTTGGAACGCACCGGTAACTGTGAAAACACACACACAAGTCAGGTCTTTCAGCCCATGGAAGCCCGTGTCGTACATTCCAGGAAAAAATCATTTCAATCCAAGTCGTTCTGTTCAACAAATATTTGTTTAAAATTTATCTTAAAAACAAAAAGGAGGAGACGCCGCCCCCTCGCCAGGGCTGACCCTCCTTCGAGTGAAGCTCCAGGCGGAGCCGCGTGAGAGCCGCAGCTGCGCAGGCAGAGGGCTGCGGACAACAAGGTGGCTCAGGGTTGTTTCACACGGACTTTTCCCGTGTTGTTTCCCTCCGAACCTAAGATGACAAGAAGGATTGATGTCTTCGGACCGATAGGCGGAGTCGTGGTACCTGAGGACAATGGTTTTCGGGAGCTGGCGTTTTGGAGCCCATATAACTTGTTATCAGCATCATCAAGGAAGTTGTCTGTCTTCGGTGTTTTTTAAGCTTCCTTGCTCCCAGCCATATTGTCCTCATTATCCGGGGGTGACTCACCCCGTTTGTCTGGTCTTTCCTTCCTGTCTTTGTGTGGAGGTGGCTCCGCCGTCCAGCGGGCCCCTGACTGCATTTTTGAAATGACTTTGTTTTTCAGATGTCGAACTCTCTCGGGTTCGCCCAGACCAAAGACCTTTAAGAAGATCCATTTCATCAAGAACATGCGGCAGCACGACACGAGGAACGGCAGGTACCGCACGCACAGACACCCCCTCGGCCTCCTGCTTCCTCACACTGCCCAGAGGCTGGGTGAGGTTTCGATGAACCACGCGCCGTCTTTTATTTTTTACTATATCTTCATTGATCTCAGAGAGGAAGGGAGAGGGAGAGGGAGATAGAACATCCATGATGAGGGAGAATCATGGATCGGCTGCCTCCTGCACGCCCCCCACTGGGGACCTGCGCCGGCAACCCTGGCCTGTGCCCTGACCGTAATCGACCCTGGTCCCTTCGGTCCGCAGGCCGACTGGCTCTATCCACTGAGCAAACCGGCCCGGGCCGTACTGAGTCTTTAATACCACGCACGTATATTTGCATGGAAACCTTTGAAGAGAAACAGTTGAATTTCGTGTTCTGTCTTTTCCCTCTTTTTCTGCTCTGTTGGGCTGTTTTCTGTTTTCACCTGGGCGGTGCGCCTTGGTCAGCGGATGCCCCCCAGGCCTGTGCTGGGCGCGTCTTGGTGCCGCTGGGGAGCTGCAGGAGCGTGAAGCCATGGCCTTGCCCGCGGGTGCCCCTGGGCACTGGCGCGCTGCCTGGCTGCTGGCACTGGGCGCCTGTTTCTCCAGCTCTTCTTCACAGGGCCTGTCGGAAAGCGCTGTTAAGTGAAAATTTACACGACCCTGATATGAACACTCACTGTCCCGTGACATGTAGATTGGAGGCATCACTGCTGGCGCATCTGCGAGGGGGTGGCTGTGTCCATTCGTGGCAGCGAGGGCAGCATTGGACCTGAGCCCAAGGCGGCTCGGGGTCTCTGGTGCTGCACCCTTAGGGGCAGCTCCCTCCACTTACCTGTGACTTGGGCAGTGGTTCCCCGGAACGGGGGAGTTAGGGACACTGTCCCAGAGCAGACCACTTCGCTTGAGCTTCTGGTTTGCAAAAGGCCACTAATGTCTAGACCAGCGATGGCAAACCTTTTGAGCTCGTCGTGTCCTCATTTTGAAAAACCCTAACTTAACTCTGGTGCTGTGTCACATATAGAAATTTTTTGATATTTGCAACCATAGTAAAACAAAGACTTATATTTTTGATATTTATTTTATATATTTAAATGCCATTTAACAAAGAAAAATCAACCAAAAATATGAGTTCGCGTGTCACCTCTGACACGTGTGTCATAGCCTCCCGCCCCGGAGAAGGGAGCCTGCTCCCGCCCGACTCTGTCCTCTCAGGGCCCAGCTCCCGCCTCCCGTGACTCAGGCTGCAGGCCGGACGGGGCTCCTCGGTCCCCAGACCTGCTGCCCGTGGGCAGAGGCTCTGGCTCCGCCAGGACCAGAGGGCGGCTGGCGGGAGGGAGGGCAGCTGTCCTCGGACAAGACGCCTGACCTGACCTAGAGTGTTCAGCAAAGTTTAAGGTAGAAACGGGGAAAGATCAGAAACTGAAGACCAAGCGTGATAAGACAATCCTGCGTCTCTTGAAAAACAGCACAAAACACCTCCGTCAGCCTCGTGGTCAGTACGTCAGGGCAGCTGCTTGGAGATACAGCTGGGGCCTCGCATCTCCACATTCACCCCGTCCTCTCCCCGTTCACCCCGTTCTCTCCGCGTTCACCCTGTTCTCTCCGCGTTCACCCCGTCCACCCCGCGTTTACCGCGTCCTCTCCACATTCACCCCGTCCACCCCGCATTCACCCTGTCCACCCCGTTCACCCTGTTCTCCCCGTTCACCCCATTCTCCCCGCGTTCACCCCGTTCTCTCCGCATTCACCCCGTCCATCCCGCGTTTACCGCGTCCTCTCCACATTCACCCCGTCCTCACCCCGTTCACCCCGTCCACCCCGCATTCACCCCGTCCTCTCCCCGTTTACCCCATCCTCTCCCCATTCACCCGTCCTCTCTCCCCGTGCACCCCGTCCTCTCTCCCCGTTCACCCCGTCCTCTTCCCGTTCACCCCACCCTCTCCCTGTTTACCCGTCCTCTCTCCCCGTGCACCCCGTCCTCTCTCCGATCACCCCGTCCTCCCTGCGTTCACCCCGTCCTCCCTGCGTTCACCCCGTCCTCTCCTTGTTCACCCTGTCCTCCTCCCGTTCACCCCGTCCTCTCCCCATTCACCCCGTTCTCTCCCCGCGTTCACCCCGTCCTCTCCGCGTTCACCCTGTCCTGTCTCCGTTCACCCTGTTCTCTCCCCGTGTTCACCCCGTCCTCTCCACGTTCGTTCACCCCGTTCTCCCCGCATTCACCCCGTCCTCTCCGCGTTCACCCCCCCCCCCCCCTCCCCCCCGTTCCCTCCCCGCATTCACCCCGTCCTCTCCGCGTTCACCCTGTCCTGTCCCCGTTCACCCTGTTCTCTCCCCGTGTTCACCCCGTCCTCTCCGCGTTCACCCTGTCCTCTCCGCGTTCACCCCGTTCTCGCCCCGTGTTCACCCCGTCCTCTCCGTGTTCACCCTGTCCTGTCCCCGTTCACCCCGTTCTCCCCGCGTTCACCCCGTTCTCTCCGCGTTCACCCCGTTCTCTCCCCGTTCACCCCGTTCTCTCCACGTTCACCCCGTTCTCTCCCCGCGTTCACCCCGTCCTCTCCGCATTCACCCTGTTCTCTCCGCGTTCACCCCGTTCTCTCCCCGTTCACCCCGTTCTCTCCCCGCGTTCACCCTGTCCTGTCCTGTTGTTTGTTCTTTTTTCCCCGTTCACCCCGTCCTCTCCACGTTCACCCCGTCCTCTCCGCATTCACCCCGTTCTCTCCCCGTTCACCCCATTCTCTCCATGACATCAGACCCCGGTGTGTGGAGGGAAGTGAGCCCCAGCGGGAGGCGTGGTCCGATGGGGGGGTGGATCTTCTTCGAGTCAGAACCACCTCCAGGTCTCCTGAATCAGTGAAGCCGGGAGGCTGGATTGGGGACCTGATGGAGTGAGGGGGTCAGGGAGAGGCCAGGACCGTGGCCGCCACCAGCAGCCGGAAGGGGCAGGGGCCTCGTTAGAGTTCAGAGGGTTGTGGCCCTGCAGACGCTCAGTTTCTGACGTGCAGCTCCAGCACGGGGCGGGCACAGGGTGCTGTTGAAGTCGCCCCGTTGTGGTGCATTGTGGGGCAGCCCCAGGGAATAGGCAGCCCCAGGGAACGGGCAGTGGCTGCAACCACTTCTTCCCAGAGTGCTCAGCCCGCACCTCAGCCGCTCAGCTGCTCTGGGCCCTGCCACATTGGCAGATGCATGGGACATGCTGTTCCAGTTCAGGAGCTGGAGGAGGGAAGGCACCTCAGAGAAGAGGGACCTAGAAGACTGGCCTTGGAGTGGGCTGGGCCGGGACAGGTCCTGGAGCAGGAACGGGGGCCAACAGTTGGGCATGGAAAAGGGAGAGCCCGGACGAAGGGAAGCATGGCCAGCACCATGGTGAGTGAGGCTGCACAGGGCGTCGGAGCGAGGGGGCGGGGGCGCCGAGCTGGCACAAGTCAGGTGGGAAATGCCTTGCAGGCCTACGCACGCCATGCAGGCTGGTGGTGCTGTCATCACAGAGCTGCTAGCCGTCTTTTCATGACTGCCCTCTGCCATCTCCACAGCCATTCCCATTGATTTCAGAGAGAAAGGGAGTTGGGGGGAGAGAGAAACATCAGTGAGAGAGAATCACCGATCTGCTGCCTCTTGAACATTCCACCTGCAGACCTCAGGCCTCCTCACGCCAAGAGAGACACCTCGAGGCCTAGAAATAGAGCAAGATGCTGGTTTGGGGCTTCTGAGGCAGCACCTACAAGCCCTGGATGACCCTGGACGCCGTCTGCTCAGACACTGGGCACCGGGCAGCCGGGTTGAAGGCAGATGCAGTACACGTGGGCCATGGGCTCTGTCGATTATAGGGGGCCGTGTACATTTCCCGGCCGTCCCGAGACCTCCGGCATCTCACCAGGGACGCAGGCTTTGTGCCCTGAAGCGCAAGTTCCCTCAGACCAGAAACACTTTCCTAAGCACAGAAAAGGGGCTGGTGAAGAAGAAAGTTAGAGGGTGCCTCCTGGGAGGGTTTGGAAAACCCTGGACCCAAGGGAGCCCACCCATGGGCCTGCCGCGCTGACAGACTCTGTGTATGGGAATGTGATCTCTAATCCCTTGAAGGCCCATCTCTCTGGACTTAGTGCCTCTTTGAAGCCCTTCCCTTCCGTGTACCACTTCCTGCTCATCCTGACCAGCTCCAGCTCCGTGTCGCAGACGGGAAACTGGGCTTCTCAGGCCACTGGTGCAGGAGAGAAGGCGCCCCCGTGGCCGGAAGGGAGACGTGGAGGCGGCCGGTTTCCCAAGCTCATCGGGCCATCGGAACAGAGCGGGGCTGTCATGTCGTCCTGCACTGCATCTGATCTGCTTCTGCAAACGCACACGCGCGTGTAGGGGCTGCGAGTCTGACGTCCTGGTGTGTGTGCAGGATGGACGCTGCCTGGCGCTCACAAAGAGTGAATCGGCACCTTCACAGGAACCCCCGGTCTGGACTCCGCGTGGGGCTCCAGAGTCACTGCGTGGAGCTGCCGGTGTAGGAAGCAGCGGCACGAGCTCGCCGTCCCCCGGATCCCAGAGCTACTCAGGACACACGTGGGCTGTGTTCTCAGCGGCTGCATTGACCATGGCCAGCTCCGTGGGGCGTGAACCGCTGCAGACCTGTGGGACTTCTCTGTCCCTGAGAAAGTGGGCGGGTACGGATGGTGGCCGAGAAAGGACGGGACGTGCCGAGGGGCGTGTGGTCCTCCCTCGCCTCCCCCAGCCCAGCTGCTGGACCAGAGAGGCACCTACTCGCTGCTGAGCCTGCCCTGTGCTTAGAGGAACATGCTTTTCTGAATGAGACTCGAGCTGTCGGCCGCTCCCAGGCCTCCTGGCCAGACCACACAGTGCGAGCTCTCGTAGCAAACAATGCAGCTCATTTACTGATGGGCACGTGGTGGCTGCAGCCTCGGAAAGAATGCTCGCGTTTCGCAGGCATTACACGCTCTCATTCTCTTGTTCTAGTAAAAATGTCCAAACAAGTTCGGTGTGTGGGAAGGAGGGCACTTTAGCCCGAGTGACGAGATGCCGTCCGCTAAGCCAGACGAGGCTGTCCAACGCCTTCCTTCCTCACGTGGACGGGGAGAGGGCGGGGCTCCAGGCTTTTCTCCTGGTGGAAAGCGGGTGGGGGTACAGAACCCCTCTCCTCCCATCTGGGCAGGGGTCCAGGCTGTGCAGAGCGGGGGACACAGAGCCCTGATATCACAGCTGCTGTTGGGGTCGGTCACCCTCTGTCCCCACCCCACGCTCCGCCTGGTGACCAGCAGGCCAGGCTGAAAGACACCCTCAACACCGGGTGAAGGCTGATCACTGGGTGTCCGAGGAGCCCTTGGGTGCCCAGCCCAGCCCACAGGAGGAGCCTCTTCTGGTCACAGAGAGGAGCGTGGCCTCAGGCACCTGGGGTGATGGGGCCCACGGTCAGTCACACCCGCGAGTGTGTCACCTCCCGGGCCTCCTTTGTTACAGTATTTAGATCTGGCGTCTGATAGACACTTGTGAGTAGTAGCTATTACATCTACTTGAGCAAATCAACACGGAGCTGCATGGCAGCTGGGTCTCCAGAGCGGACCAGGGAGCAGCAGGGTGTGGCCTGCAGGCCTTGGCCACCCCTCCGGGTGGACGCCAGGTCCTTGTAGAAGTGGCCAGGCCTCGGGGCTGTGGCGGCCGATGAGAATCCCCCGTGAGAGAGAAGAGGCCCTCTGTGTGTGTGTCCGTTCACAGACAGGCCACACGTGTTCCTTCGTCGTCCGTGGAGCACAGACCGCAGGGTTCTCAGTCTGAGACTCTGCTGGTGAACTCCCCTCCCCCCCAGGAACAGGCTCCAGGGACTGGGGCGTCCTGAGCTCTCATCGCTGCAGCGACGTTACAACAAGGCAGCTACATTCCTGTCCTTTCCACGTGGGACACGGGGCTCGGAGGGAAGCTCCCGTGTGTGAAGCTGGGACGTTGTTGGGTCCCGTCGGCCACTGTGGACGGGAGTCACTGTGCAGTGAGCAGCCGCAGTCCTGTCCCCGGTGATGGGGACTCAGTGCTCCCAGGGCGTTGGGGTGGGGGGCTGCCAGGTGCCACGGCTGCACCCACCGTGGGAAGAGGGGAGCAGCCCCTGGTTCGCCGCTCTGGGGTCCGTACCCTCCTGAGGAGGAAATCGGGAGCAGAAGCAGAAGCAGCGCCGAGGGGAATGAGTAACTGGGGGAGGGGACGGCGGAGCCCGTGTTGAGGGACAAATACGAGTTCCCCGAGTGCCGTGTGGGCACAACAGGCAGAAGGAATAGCAAAGGACAGAGGCGTGCAAGGCGGGACTTGAAGTAGGTGTGCAAGTCCTTTGTGGTGAGTGAGGGGCGTGGGGGTGCCGTGTGTGAGGGCCAGAGAGGCAGGAAGAGCGAGGAGACAGGCCCGTGCCGTGCTGGGAAGCCCGACTGGCGAGCGTGGAAGCCACGGAATGTCCCAGTGAACCAGGTCAGAGCCCCCCAATCTGATGCCGTTGTGGTGCTGTCTGCTCTGCTGGCTTCAGGATTAGTTACTGAAGGGAAAGATTACAGAAGCCAGCAAGCTTCGCATCTGATGTGTGTTGCCATGGCGCCAAAGAATGTTGTTTTTTAATTTCCACTCATTTCTCCATTGTTTCCATCCATCACTCTCTTTCGCAAACGTTATTCTCGATGCCAGGGTAAGTGCTGCTGAGAGCTCACTAATGCCTGTCTGCGTGCCCTTCGATTGCGTAAGAGCGTCATGTAGAGCCGTTTCCAGGAGTGTCTGTCGCAGGGATGGGGCTGAGGCTGCTGGTCCTGGTTCCTTCATTGACCCTCAGAGCCCGTGTGCCGCAGCCTGGGAGACACACCTGCCAAGCATCTGCGTGTCTCTCCTGCTCATGGTTCCTGGCCCGTTGCTCTTGCTCCGTAACTGCAGGGTGAGAGCCAGGGGTTTAATGTGGCTGCGGGCACAGCACCGGGCACCCAGCTCAGCCCTGGGCCCGCCTGGCCTGTGCAGCCCACAGCCAGCAGGTCGCACGGAGGACTCGCTGTGCTCCTTGCAGACCCTCCGAGCAGGGTGTCTCGCTGGCTGACTTGGGATCGGAGGCAGCGTCAGCGGAGGTGGAGGGAGGGGCAGACGCCGCTGCGAATCCCATAAGCGCTTCGTCGCTCGGGGATTTTTAAATTTAAGAGTCTTTGCATTTAGTTTGTTGTTTGTTCTTTTTCTGTTTTTATTTTGTAGAATCGTCCTCCTCAGTGGCAGGCGATCCTTCTGCAGCGTGTTCTCAGTGCTGCCGTATCGGGACAGCGCCCAGGCCGGGTACGTACCTGCACTCGCCGTGGCTCTCGGGCGAGAGGCTGTGGGACCACGTGTGGGAGGTGCCGCCCTTCCCTTCCCGGCAGCTGGCCTCTCTCTGACATGAAAATTCAGGGAAAGTCGAAGGAAAGAGTTCTACCCTCTTTTCAGCCAGAAAGCGTTCTTGCAGGTGTGTGTGTGTGTCCCCGTGTTTATCTGTGTGTCTGTGTTTGCGTATCCCCATGTCTCTGTGTGTGTATCTGTGTGTGTGTCCCGTGTTTATCTGTGTGTCTCTGTGTGTGTATCCCCGTGTCTGTGTGTGTCCCCGTGTTTATCTGTGTGTGTGTCCCCATGTTTGTCTGTGTGTGTCTCTGTGTGTGTATCCCCGTCCCTCTGTGTGTCCCTGTGTTTATCTGTGTGTTTGTGTGTGTATCCCCGTGTGTCTCTGTGTGTGTGTCCCCATGTTTGTCTGTGTGTGTCTCTGTGTGTGTATCCCCGTGCCTCTGTGTGTCCCTGTGTTTATCTGTGTGTTTGTGTGTGTATCCCCGTGTGTCTCTGTGTGTGTGTCCCCATGTTTGTCTGTGTGTGTCTCTGTGTGTGTATCCCCGTCCCTCTGTGTGTCCCTGTGTTTATCTGTGTGTTTGTGTGTGTATCCCCGTGTGTATCTGTGTGTGTGTCCCCGTGTTCGTGTGTGTGTGTGTGTGTGTGTGTCCTCGCCATGCTGCCTGCTGCTTCTGATGTGCACGTTGGCATATCCTCATCCTGTGAAGCAAGAACAATGCAAGGCCCACCCCACCCCCCGGGCCTTGCCAGCTCTGGAGACAGGGAGGTCAGGAAAGGAATGACACAGCGTGTGCCCACTCTGCCTCCTTGTACTGGGCTTGGGCTGGAACCCGACCAGCCTGCGGAGCAAATACCAGAGCAGAGCGGACCAGAAGCAGAGGGGGAACGCCACCTCTCAAGGTCAACAAGCTCCTCCTTTGGTCTGAAACAAACGTAGGTAGTGAAGCTCTGACCTTGCAAAGCGCTGCCTCCTTCCCCAGCCCCAGACTCGGTGCCTCTCCTCTGAGTCCTGCCCCTCACCCGCACCTGCTCCCTGCATCTGTGTCGTCAGGGAGCGGCAGGGGCTCAGGGCAGGACGCTGGGAGCGCTGTGGGTGGCGGGAGCGCCGTGGGTGCTGGCACTGGCCTCTGCAAACTCATGCAGGGCCTCCTTCTGGGTGCTGTGACGGTCACAGGCTGTCCACATAGGACCTGGCCCGAGGGAGGGCGGCAGGTCCTGGTGCTGCTTCACCCTTTACGGTGCCCCCTGGTTCACGGGAGATGCATTTTAAGACCCCGTGGGTGCCTAACCTGCGGGTAGTACTGACCCTGTATATACCATGTTTTCTCCTGTATGTACACAACTATGATAAAGTTTACTTTATAAATTGGGCACAGAGATTAACAACAGTAACTAGTAATGAAATAGGATATGGTAACAATCTGCTGCAGTGAGAGTTATGAGGACGTGGCATTATTAAGTAAAACCAGGGTCGCTTGAGCACAAACCCTGCGGACGGGGATGGGGTCTGATAACGAAGGCGGCTGCTGAGTGACCAACAGGCAGGGGCGTCTGTGGCGTGAACGCACCGACAAGGTGGCTCCCATCGGGTGGGAAGGAGCGGACACTGAGATTCCATTCTGGCCTGAGGATGGCACGGAATTTAAACTTACGAATTGTTTGTTTCTGGAATTTTCCACTTAATATTTTCGGGCCCCAGGGAACCAGGGGTCACTGAAACAGCATAAAGCGAAGCCGTGGATAAGGGAGGACAGCGGTATTTAGGGGAGTCACCTGTGAGGTTATTAGGAGACTCGTCCTGCCACTTGTCCCAGATGCAGATGCAGAATGTGCGAGGACTCACGGGACGTAACCTCACATCTTGGATACGAACAATCAAACTCGCCACTCCCTCAGCTTTTATAGATGAGAAACCAAAATGCAGAAAAAGGTAATTTCTGTAACAAAGCCCCCGGCCGGGTCCCCATGTCACCCAGCAGAGAAGAGAACATGCTCGCGGGGGCGGCACATGCTGACGTCCTCAGGAGAAACTGGCAGCACGAGTCGGATTGAGCAGCGAGACTCAGCAGTGTCCTGCTCGTCATTTTCTTAAATATATTTTCACCGATATCAGAGAGGAAGGGAGAGGGAGAGAGAAACATCCATGATGAGAGGGAACCATGGATCGGCTTCTCCCGCACGCCCCTGCCTGGGGATGTGCCCTGACGGGGAATCGAACCATGACCTCTTGTTTCATAGGTCAGTGCTCAACCACTGAGTCATGCTGGCTGGGCTGTTCTGCTTTTTAAATGTTTTAATGAACAGATACCCTATTTATAATAACTGCCACTTATAATTATCATCTTTAAGCTAATTATTGGGAAATAATTATGCTTAAATGACAAGTGTTTATGCTAGTACATTTATACATATACATATTTTTAAACTCCTGCAGCTCATGTGCATACTAACCAGTATGTTTTCACTGTGGAAAATTCCTTTACCTTTACGCTAAAGCCTCTCCGTGACCAGGACGTAAGTCCTAGGATTCCCGGGATGGAAAGGGGGCTTCCCTGCCTTGCAGCTCGAGCCCATAGGCTCCCTGCTCTCCCCTCCTCCCCCCCCCCCCCCCCCTCTCTCTAAGATTAATTTTTTTAAAAAAGAAAAGAAAAACAAGATAATTCTTCACCGCACACGCCACCGGGCTGCTCAACGCATGGTTTCTGGCTCCCGTGGTTCCGTGGTGCTAAGGCACGTGGACCAGGCCATGTGTGCCCGAGAATTCCGACAGGCGCAGACCAGCCGTGGACGGGTCTATGTGCGTCCCAACTTCATCCCAAGAAAGATTTAAAGACAGGAAACTCAAAAGTCCCTTCACTGCACTTGAACCCCTGACTGGAGAGCATCTGTCAGGGTGGCCTTATCTCTTCTTGGTCTGTCTTCTGGCCCCTCTGGCGGCCGGGGCATCCCAGCCCCTCTACCCCCTCCCCTGCCCCCCAGCTTTGTTCTTGGGTTTAAGCTGAACTGACTGACTGGCTCCTGACATCTGCTGAGCGAAGCAGACAGGCCGGCCCGGGGGAGGCTTCGCAGGCGCTGGTGACAGTCGTCCTGCTGGGGCCCCACCGACACAGAGTCGAGTCGAGCCGAGTCGGAGCAGTGGTTCTCCCCCTTCCGGCCCTTTACACACAGTTCCTCACGTTGTGACCCAACCATAAAATTATGTTCGTTGCTACTTCATAACTGTCATGTTGCTACTGTTGTGAATCGTCATGTAAATATCTGATATGCAGGACGGTCTTAAGCGACCCCTGTGAAAGGGTCGTTCGACCGCCAAAGGGGTCGTGACCCACAGGTTGAGAACCACCGAGTTAGAGGGAGTGGCTATCCCAGCCTCCACCTAGTCCTCTCATACTTGGATTCATGCTCAGACGAGAGAAGAAGGCGAGCAGCCCTACACCTGCGGCTTACGGAGCCAGAGGGCGCTCAGCTCTCGGCTAATCTGAAGAGCAGGTGGGGTGGGGTCCGAGTCCTCAGACGCCCTCCTGTCTGTAGGTTTCCAGGTTCCTTGCGGACTCTCTTGGAGCAGATTCGTTCTCAAGGCCCCTGTTTACTTTGTGGGGCCTTCCCAGAATCCCCAGAATCCAGGAGAAGCACCTGCCCCTTTGCCTTGCCAAGCCCCAGGCTGCGCTTCTCTGCGGAGTGAAAGGGCCCTTTTTCCCTTTCCCCTCCCCCTCCCTCTCTGGGATCCCTCCTTAGGGAGCTTTTAACCCTTTGCTGTCTCTGTCCTGGGTGGGGAAGACCATGGCTTGTTAGTGACAAGCTGGCTGCAAATTGCCCACACTGTTTGGTCTTGGGGTTTTGTTTTGTTTTGGTTAATCCTCACCCTGGGATATTTTTTCCAATGATTTTTAGGGAGTGAAGGGGGGGGGGAGGGGAGAGGCAGAGAGAAACATTGACGTGAGAGACACATGGGTTGATTCCTCCTGCACGAGCTCTCACCCAGGCAGGGGATCAAACCCGTAACCCAGGTACATGCCCTCGACCAGGAGTTGAACACGAGACCCGTTGGTCCGCGGGCAGATGCTCTATCCACTGAGCCACACGGGCCAGGGCTGTTTGGCCTTGCTTTCACTTTCCTGCCTCAGTTTCCCTGTTCCACTTGCCCTGGAATTTTCCTGGCTCCTCACTGCCCTGTTAGATGGGAGATGCTTCTAATAACTGTCTTCTTTTCCCGTTCATTCCCGTTGGGAATTCAGTCTTGCCCGGGGCACGATGGGCACGGAGCGGGGGTGCAGGGCGGGTGCATTCAGACAACACCCAGCTCCCCAGTGCCTGTCCACACCCCTCGGTCTCTGGCTGTCGGCAGTTGGCTGGCCTCGCCCTCCGTCAGCTCCGGTGGGAAATGTCAGTAGCATGCAGCTTGCGAGCAGATGAGCACACGGCTCTTTGCACGGGCGCCGGGCTTGCGGGAAGCAGGGACGCTCTTGGCTGCACGTGGAGTTGGAAGCGGGTGGTTTCCCCAGGTCCGTTCTGGGTGGGAGTCGCGAGGTGGGAATAACGCAATGTGGGCGATGCCGAAGGTCCGCCCGGGACCCAGAGCTTCCTCCTGCTTCCCGCCCTCTTCCACCCTCTGGCCTGTCCCTCCTGCGGCAGGACCTCCTGCTTGGACCGCAGGCTAGTGCAGCTGCATTACAGGCCAGAAGGGCGTCCTGTGGGGCGACTCCATTCACGGCGTCCCGTCAGCGGGAACAGGCACGCCCGTCCCAGACACCAACTCCAGAGCTTTGGGAGCGGGTCTCCCTGTGAGGGGGAGACTGCAGGCCTGGAGTCAGAGCTGCCCCCGCCGCCCCGTGCACATGGCTGCCATGAGAGCCAGATGGTCTTCAGTCCCTGGAGGTGGGGCATCCGCAGGCATTTTGCACATACAGGGCGGGGCAGGAGGGTTACAGCTCTTTCCATGGGAAGCAATACAACGTTAATAAATACGAAAATAAGCTCTTGTTTCTCATACAACCATAAACCTACCTTTATTTTAAATTGATTCCAGAGAGACTGGAAGGGAGAGGGAGAAACATCCGTTGGCTGCTCCCTGCACGCCCCCTACTGGGGATTGAGCCTGCCACCCAGGCCTGTGCTCTGACTGGAATTGAACCAGCAACCTTTGGGGCGACGCCCAACCGACTGAGCCACACTGGCCAGGGCTGTGAGCCTCCTTTTCCGTGTAGATCCGATTGGAAGGAGGTTGGAGTGAGTCCAGGAAGCCTGTGGCTGAGGATTCTAGAAAACAACCACGCTTGTGACCCCAACAGAATAGCGCCTGTGAGGTGTGTGTTGGGGACAGACCCACTGAGAGAAGCATGCCTGGTTGACGGACAGTCACTGGGTGAGCCGACTGCACGGTCGGAGCCCCAGTGTCTCTGGACATGAAGCTTGAAACAGCCGCTTCCGTGTGGCGTTCATGTCCCCAGCCTTTGTTGCTGGGCATTTCAGATGGGGTCGTCCCCTCGTCACTCGGTGACACAGAGGACGGCCCTTCCAGAGAGAGGCCTCCAGCCTCCACACCCCTCCCCCACGGCCGAGCATGTTCCCCCCGCGACCGGCTCTGGGATGATCTCATGGGTGAATCATGCCGTGGTCGGCTGTTTGTAGGAGCTGCCTGCAGAGGCCCCTCATGGCTGCCAGTGCCCGGGGGGTGGCGTGTGGATGGCGAGCTTAGTGGGAGCCCGAAGGCTGGCAGGACTGAACGCTGCTCTGATTGTCCGAGGCCTGGTGGCCTGGCCCGTCCGCTGCTTCTGAACTGGGGGCAGCGCTCTGCTCTGGACCAGCAGGCAGATTGCCCGATGGCGGCGGTGCGGGGCGATGGTGAGGGAACCGCGTTAGCCCTTGTCGCTGAGCCTGGGGTGCAGCCCCTGGTGATGCCGGGCTAGAGGCGGCCTTGCTGCCTAGCCAGCCTCACGCTCTGCTCTCTGTGAAGCAGATCTCTGGCTTGTTATTTTTTAAGCGTCCGGAAATCCTGTTAACATTTAATTAGCTTTTAAGTTAGTTACACATCCACGTGTTCAACGCATTGTTCTTTAAAGATTGATGCCCAGAGGGGCTCCCGGATGCAACCCCGGCCCCAGGAGGCAGCCCCGTCACTGAAGTAAATCCCAGCGGCCGTCCCGGAGGCGGAGGCCCTGAGACGAGCTCATTGTCCACAACACACTCGGGTCACCCACTTGCCAGGTGCTGATGCTTTAAGTCACACGCACGTACGGCTGCTGCTGTCATTGAGAGGAACATCGGTTCGTTAGCCAGACGCTCCCTAAGGAATGGGCCTTGGCTCGGCCCTGCTGCCCAGTTCCATGCGGTGCCACTCAGTGAGCTGGAAAAGGACACGGGAGCACTGTGCCGCCCACAGGAGGGAGTCAGGAGCTGGCCACAGGAGGCCCTGAGCACCGAGGGGACCCCCTCTGGGCACCAGGAGAGCTAGACGGGCCGCTGCTCTGACCAGACGACCCACCATGATGAAATCGAGTACGTCCGCTCTGTCAGGGGACAAAACTAAGACGGGCCTGGGGTTCCCGCCCGAGGTGACGGGCTTCCCAGGAGACCCACGGGGTGAACTGCAGTGCTGTCTGCGAGGGTGGCTCAGCCCCAGAGAGCCCACTTCTGCGTCTGCTTCTTGCTTAGAGGTATCACTGTTGTGGGGCTGTCTCCCCTGGTGTGTTTTCATCCCCTCCCCCATCTTCTGTGGCCCCTTCCCTGTCCTCCTTACACTACCTCCCATCCCTCCCCCCCCTTCCTGGATATGGCTGCGATTTAGACCCCTGGGAGCGTTCAGAACTCCTGCACCCATGACAATGGAATCAGCATGGCTGAGGTGGGAGCCAGACTGCAGGAGTTTGTCAGAAATCCCTGGTGATTCCAACACACAGCTTAGTGAGAACTGCAAGGAGAGGGGACGTGGCCAGCCATCTGCCTACTCTGGGCCTCGTTTTCTCATCTGTAAAATGGGACAGTAATAGCAACAACAGTCTGATAGGGGCGTTGTCAAGAATGAAGGGGCCTGCGGGCGCGGCTCAGTGGTTGAGCGTTGATGTATGAACCAGGAGGTCATGGTTTGATTCCCGGTCAGCGCACATGCCTAGTGCGGGCTCGATCCCCATTAGGGGGCAGCAGAGGCAGCTGATCCATGATCCTCTCTCATCACTGATGTTTCTATCTCCCCCTCTTCCTTCCTCTCTGAAATCAGTAAAACTACATTTTTGAAAAAAAGGATGAAAGGGATGGTGTGTGACAGTCTTTGTCAGGTGTGAAGTGTTCTGCGACTGCTTGCTGTTCACACTGGACATTGTTTTATAGAAAGATACTCGCTTTCCAGGTGGCCTGGCAAAGTAGGAGGTGACCCTTGTGGCGCTAATTCTCTCGTGGCCAGCAGTGAGCCTGAGAGCTGTTCAGGATGAGAAATTCTTCCTCCTGTTGAATAAAGGGGGGGTTGAGAGGGATCTCCCCAGATTTAAGAAGAAGCCAGCAGCAAGAGCCCAGCAGAGTGTAGTCCCTGTGCCCGGGGTGCCTCTGGTGCCTGTGCCATGACCGTCCAGAGAAGAGAGACTTGCTGAGAGGAGGGAGGCCGGGATCCACACTCTGCACCCGCCTTTCTACCCGTTCAGCTGCGCGTCCTTCATGTCAGAGTCGGGGGCGTGGGGGGGGCTGCCCTTGAGCCGCTGACCCGGCCCGGCGGAGGGGCGAGGGGAGGCCTGCTCGGTGCCTCTCGTCAGCATGACTGTGTCGTAGTGAGCATCACAGCACCTCTTTTGGGTACAAACAGCAGCTTTCCTCTCTGGCTTGTCCTCCCAGGGACTTGAAGTCGGACGGAGGGAGACAGTCAGCAGGTGCCGTGAGCCTGAAAGAGGTCATTGGCCTGGAAGGCGTGGAGCTGGGCGCTGACGGGAAGGTAAGGCTGCCCGGCTCCCGTTGGCGAGTCTGTGCCCAAGCCACAGGGTCGGGAAGCAGAAGAGAGGGCAGTCCACGCGCCTCGCTCGAGGGGTGGGGGGCACCTTCCTGGGCTCCCAGCGGGCAGGCGAAGTCCATCGAGGCCGCGATTACATAGCAACACAAGGTTTCCCTGCCTGCGTGTGCACACACGTGTCCACATGCATGCTCTGGGGTGCAGGTTGTGGGTAGTGTGAACAGCAGTAATGGATGGTGCCCACAAGCCGCCTCCCCACGACTAGACGGGTGCCAGCCTCTGACAGAGACCCCAGGCCCCAGGGCTGCCACGCCTCTCACACGCAGCTCACCAGGCTGCGGGGTGACGTCTAGGGTGTGAAGGGTGAATCCAGTCTTTCATGAGCCCCCCAAAGCTTGTTGGGGAGACCATGCAGGGTGTCCTTGGGGAGACCGTCCCAGCAGCTTGCATGCACAGGACCCCCCGGCACAGCTCCCCCAGGGCCTGAGCTGTGGTCCCCAGGCTGGCGGAGAGAAAGATACATGTGCTGCTTTCTCTCCTGAAGGCTGAGTGTCCACCCAGGAATGGGGGGGGTGGGGGCGGGGGCGGGGAGGGGAAGCGGAGGTGAGCCCCGTGGATGGGTCTGCCGCAGGGCACGGGGTCACGCCCCTTGTTAGGGACTCCAGCTGTCGGGGCCTGGAGCGCTGCAGGTGCTGGTTCATGGAAAGCACTGCCAGTCCGTGCCTCGCGCAGCCACACCATCCCCACAGCGTCTAGGCCAGCGATGGCGAACCTGTGACACGCCGGAGAGAAAGATACATGTGCTGCTTTCTCTCCTGAAGGCTGAGTGTCCACCCAGGAATGGGGGGGGTGGGGGCGGGGGCGGGTTTTGGTTGATTTTTCTGTGTTAAATGGCATTTAAATATAGAAAATAAATATCAAAAATATAAATCTTTGTGTTACTATGGTTGCAGATATCAAAAAATTTCTATATGTGACACGGCACCAGAGTTAGGTTAGGGTTTTTCAAATGCTGACACGCCGACTCAAAAGGTTCGCCATCACTGGTCTAGGACAACACATTGTTATCAAACACACATCAGCCGCGTCACCTGAGCGTTCTCACGGGGGAGCGGGGGGGAGTCAGGGACAGCCACAGGCAGCGGTTCTGGCACAGATTTGGCCAGAATAGAAGTCATCTTCCAGGTTCCTGATGTCAGAGTCGCAGTGGGAGACATGCAGCGTCGCTGGGTCGGGCGCAGCCTCACGCTGCCTGGCATGTCTCTCACCTGCCCTTTGTCTTCCTTCCAGACGGTGTCGTACACCCAGTTCCTGTGGCCCACAAACGCCTTGGGAGCCCGGAGGGGCACCATCGACTCCACCTCCTCCTTCTCCCACTTCCGCACCCTGAGCCACCGCAGCCTCTCCATAGGGCGGGCCAGCAGCACCCAGGGGAGCCTCGACACAGGTGCCGGCTGCTGGGTCTGGGGGCTGCGGCAGGAGGCGTCTGGGGTACAGTGTGGGTGGGTCTCCTGTGTGCAGACGGGAGGGCCAGGTCCCTGAGTGTGAGCTCATCCCACAGGCGACGTGATTGGGCAAGAGGATTTCAGCCTCACAACCGGCCAGAGGGTGGCCTCTCCAATGAGATGCCTCCGCCCAGCCCCTGAGCGCCCCCGGGGAAACCCCACGGCCTCGTGCAGAGCGGGCTGGGCAGGACCCGGCTTCTCGCCACCTCTCTGCGCCTCAGAGTTACCTCCCTGTACTGCTTCTTGCCTACACTTTTCAGTGCTCACGTTGGGCTTTTCTTCAAATAATTGGGCCAGAAGCCCAGGGCCCGGTGCAGAACGTCCCTTGTGGTTCTCCGCACGCGAGCGGATGGGCTGCGGAAGGAGGCTGGGTGCTTCCTGCTCGGCCTGAGCGACCCTCGGGGGCTGACGGGAGCTCTTGGTGGCAGTGCCACTGCCCAGAGAGCCCAGGCGATCGGAGGGCTCAGCCTGTCCAGGTGCTGAGTCGGAAACACTGTCCGTGCTCCCACCACGCTGGTCCCCAAGTGCATGGGCCTGCTTTGATCCGTGTTTATATGGGCACAGTAGTCTGCCCAGGAGGGTTCACCCCAAAACGCGCTTCTCACGGGGCTCAGCTGTCAATGACCTGCAGGGTTAGAAACGAGCCTTTTGGCGCCACGTGTTCTGTCCGAGTGTCCCTGTGTTGTCCCTGCTCCGGGGTCCTGTGCTCTCCGGGTCAGGGCGATTCACGTGTCATTTTCTAAAGTGGAAAAGCTCGTCGTCAGGTGAAGAATCTGGTGCCCGTGTCGGAGAGGACACGCCTCCTTGGCTGCAGAGACCGTGACTGCATGGCAGGCAGGCGACCGAGCTGGTGCCCTGACCCGCCCTCAGTCCCCCGCACAGGCGTTCACCTCTGCGCTAACTGTCCCTCTGCCTGTGGCCCTTAGGCAGCGACCTGGGAGACTTTGTGGACTACGACCCGAACCTCCTGGACGACCCCCAGTGGCCTTGTGGGAAGCACAAGCGGGTCCTCATCTTCCCTTCGTACATGGTGAGTAGCATGGAGGCGGCAGGCAGGCCTTCCCTCAGCTGCGCTGCCCGGAGCGGGGCCCCTTCAGACCCTGCTCAGGCTGGAGACCCTCCAGGTGCCGTGCTGATGGGGAGACCAGAACGTGGCCGGTCCAGGGTTCTGCTGGTCACTGGCCTGCACACATCACGTTAGCTACCGGCTCACTCGCCAAAGCGTGGCATCTGTAGACCCACTGGGAGAGGGTGGGCCACCGGCCGCGCTGAGGTCAAGCCAGCTGGTGGAGTCCTCGCGAGGGTGGGTCTGCAGTGCCCACTGAGCAAACACGTGGCCCGGGCTCAGGGCGACCGAGCCCTCTCCCGGGAAAGGGAAGCAGGACAGTGTGGCTGTCACACACAAGCTGTTTCTCGGGCTCTTCCTGTTTTCCTCTGTGAGTCTGGTTTCGGCTCCTGGCTGACCACCTCCCACCGCTCTGCTCCTGGCGGCCGTTCCCCGAGATCAGAGGGTCTGGCAGGGCCCGGGTACTTTCTTGGGGAGACGTGCCAACTCAGAGGCAGGCAGAGCCCGAGATGCCAGGGGAGAGGCGCAAGGGCTTTTGGGAAACCGCTGCCCCTGGGCTGCACACAGGTATCGGTGGGAGAGCACGGCCAGAACGCCCTGTCGTCTCCCTGCCAGCTGGTCGGAGGGCGCAGCTGAGCACACGGCCAGGTGCCTCCCTCCCCCGCCCGTGCGGTCTCTGCACCCGGCCCAGCAGTGAGCCCGCCCTTCTCCTGGGACAGGCCCCCTGTCGTGTCTCGGAAGCCGCAGTGGGCCCAGCCTACATGTGAAGGGCACCTGGCACCCACTCAGACCTGAGTGGCCTCTGTGCCGGGCCCTGGCCTCCGGCCTCTCCTCACAGAACATTTGGCAACAGGGTGACGTCAGAGACACCCGGGGCCTGGCCAGCTACGCCCGCGTCTCCTCCTGTAACAGGCAGGGAGCCAGAGACATTCCAGTGCCAGAGTTGGGATGAATTACCAAAGGCATTTAGTGTATTTATTAATTTTTAAAATATATTTTTATTGATTACAGAGAGAGAGAAAGGGAGAGAAACATCAGTGATGCAAGAGAATCATTGACTGGCTGCCTCCTGCACACCTCACACCCCAGCCTGCAACCCAGGCATGTGCCCTGACCGGGAATCGAACCGTGACCTCCTAGTAGAGCGATGCTCAACCTCTGAGCCACGCCGGCCGGGCCAAAGGCATTTAGTTTAAAACTGGCCCTACTCCTTGCTCTTCCCTCCTTATTCCCCAGCTGCTGACACAGAAAGCGAACCAGACCTGTGGGTAGTTCTTTTCCACTGTGACCTCTGTGAGGTCATTGCTTCTTTAAAAACAACCACCAGAGCTCATCGGTCTGAGCCAGCACACAGTGAGGAGCTCATTGGTCTGAGCCAGCACAGAGTGAGGAGCTCATTGGTCTGAGCCAGCGCACAGTGAGGAGCTCATCCGTCTGAGCCAGCGCACAGTAAGGAGCTCATCTGTCTGAGCCAGCACACAGTAAGGAGCTCATTGGCCTGATCCAGCACAGAGTGAGGAGCTCATCGGTCTGAGCCAGCGCACAGTGAGGAGCTCATCCGTCTGAGCCAGCGCACAGTAAGGAGCTCATCTGTCTGAGCCAGCACACAGTAAGGAGCTCATTGGCCTGATCCAGCACAGAGTGAGGAGCTCATCGGTCTGAGCCAGTGCACAGTAAGGAGCTCATCCGTCTGAGCCAGCGCACAGTAAGGAGCTCATCTGTCTGAGCCAGCACACAGTAAGGAGCTCATTGGCCTGATCCAGCACAGAGTGAGGAGCTCATCGGTCTGAGCCAGTGCACAGTAAGGAGCTCATCCGTCTGAGCCAGCGCACAGTAAGGAGCTCATCTGTCTGAGCCAGCACACAGTAAGGAGCTCATTGGCCTGATCCAGCACAGAGTGAGGAGCTCATCGGTCTGAGCCAGTGCACAGTAAGGAGCTCATCCGTCTGAGCCAGCGCACAGTAAGGAGCTCATCTGTCTGAGCCAGCACACAGTAAGGAGCTCATTGGCCTGATCCAGCACAGAGTGAGGAGCTCATCGGTCTGAGCCAGTGCACAGTAAGGAGCTCATCCGTCTGAGCCAGCGCACAGTAAGGAGCTCATCTGTCTGAGCCAGCACACAGTAAGGAGCTCATTGGCCTGATCCAGCACAGAGTGAGGAGCTCATCGGTCTGAGCCAGTGCACAGTAAGGAGCTCATCCGTCTGAGCCAGCGCACAGTAAGGAGCTCATCTGTCTGAGCCAGCACACAGTAAGGAGCTCATTGGCCTGATCCAGCACAGAGTGAGGAGCTCATCGGTCTGAGCCAGTGCACAGTAAGGAGCTCATCCGTCTGAGCCAGCGCACAGTAAGGAGCTCATCGGTCTGAGCCAGCACACAGTGAGGAGCTCATCGGTCTGAGCCAGCGCACAGTGAGGAGCTCATCGGTCTGAACCAGTGCACAGTGAGGGGCTCATCGGTCTGAGCCAGCGCACAGTAAAGAGCTCATCTATAGGAGCCAGCGCATAGTAAGGAGCTCATCAGTCTGAGCCAGCACACAGTGAGGGGCTCATCGGTCTGAGCCAGTGCACAGTGAGGAGCTCATTCATCTGAGCCAGCGCATAGTAAGGAGCTCATCAGTCTGAGCCAGCGCATAGTAAGTGCTTAGTGAATCACCAGATGCATTGCCCTGATGTCCAGGGAGAGCAGAGCGGTCATGACTGTAGGAAGAGGCCCCGTGTGGTCCCTGCTCGACTTGTCAGTCACTTCATTTGTTAAGTGACTGGGCAGGAAGCTACTCCGGAGCCCACCGGCTGCCACGGTGACAGACAGGAAGTGGGCGTGGGGCCGGAGCGCCTGGTGAGAACTTGGCTCCCTTCACCGCTGAACCCCACAGCCCTCCGCGCCCACGGCCGCACCACCGACTTCGGGACAAGAAAGGGATTCTCTGGGTCAGCAGTTTAACAAACTCTCAGCCCCCAGAGAATCAGGCGCCATTCTCATGGACGTTGAGGTTTGGTGGGAGCTCGGCCACAGATGGTTCACGTCCGGGATGACACCAGCCCCTCCTGCCATAGGCCTGGGGTCCGGCTGCTGCCAGGACAGGGTTTTCTCTTTAAATCATTTCACCGGGAACTTCGCGGGCTGGGCTGCAGTCCCCGTGGGCGCTGTGCACAGTGGGTTCTCCCTCCGTGGGCAGTGGCTGGGTGACCTGCCAGGTCCGCACACGTGTCCCACCCCGTGTTCTGTGTTTCCGAGCCGCTCGTTTTTCATTGAACCTGCCGTGCTTCCTGTCGTGGCTCGCTTTCCAGAGAAGGAAACGCTCCTTCGCTATGGACACGGGCCCTTTGGTAACACGCAGGCGCCTGCGCTTCGGCACGCTCATCTCGGTCATGGATGTGCATGTCACATGAGCCTCACATGCGCCCAGGGGATCCCTCGCCAGACGTGGGCCTGGAGCACGGGCCCCTCACAAGCATCTCACATGGAGCGTGTGGGGGGGAGGGGAGGTTGCTTGCTCACTTTGTGTGTTGGGCAACAGGCATAGGATTTGTCTACTCAGCCACTATTGACGGGACCTACTGTGCGCCAGGCCAAGTGCTTCCTGCTCAGAGAAGGTTAAACCCACCACAGTCCCCATGCTCCTTGACCTCATGGTAGATGTCAGGGAGGGTTGGAGGTCAGAGGTGAGAGGCTCTCGAGAAGATACTGAGAATGGGTGCTGGGAAGGGGGCCATCCCAGGCCTCGGCAGGGAGCCCACGCGGAGGCCCTGTGGTGTGAGAGAAGCTGACTTGGTGTAAAATCAGTATTTTCAACAGAACAGTCAGCCCAGCCGGCGTGGCTCAGTGGTGAGCATCGACCTATGAACCAGGAGGTCATGGTTTGATTTCCGGCCAAGGCACATGCCTGGGTTGCAGGCTCCATCCCCAGTGTGGGTGTACAGGAGGCAGCCGACCCATGACTCATCATTGATGTTTCTGTCTTCCTCTCCCTTCCTCTCTGAAATCAATAAAATGAAATAACAGTAAGTAGCTGTCCTACTCTTTCTGCACACAGGCGCGCGCGCACATGCACACACATGCACGCACACGCACACAAAGTCGAGCCTGCAGGATGACGCTCCTGACAAACTGGCCCCCTCTCCCCCGGGTGCGGAGCCTCATGTGTAACAGGCACTGAGGAGCGAGGACACGGAGGACGCAGTTGCTCAGCCCGGGTTGTTGAGGCCCCTCTGAGGTCTGTGGTCTCGGCCCTTGGGCGGGTGGGCGCTGCCTCCACAGGCCTCGCTGGTGCACGCCTGCTGCGGGGTGACCCTCATGTCGGGTGGGCGCCCCTGCAG